AAGACCCTTTCTAAGTTGCTTGCAAGAAACGGCATTTGGATATCAAAGGACGAAAAAAATATGATGATTGTCGACGATACCTTATCTGGCAGGGAAGATATTGATAGAATTTATATGAAAGGAAATGAAGCAGAAAGAAATCTCTTCGGCATTAAAGACGTTCTCGACATTTTGAAGGCACTTCAAGATAAAGTAATGATAGATTGAAAGAGAAACCTTTGCGGAACGAAGAAGAGAGCTAAGGTCGGATGACGAATATTAAAAAGTAGCCAAGGAATGAGGAAGAAAAACTACTAGACGAAGTAATCAGAAGACAAATAAGAGGAAGGAACTGCTCACAAAATATAGACATTGATGTGTAAAGTTCACTTTATCTGCCGTCCTGGGCATGACAATAAACTCCATCCGGCAGCAAGGCCTCTGATCGGGAGCTTTTGGGAGCGTGGAAGCATTTCTTAATTGCTTTTATTTCCATGTCCAAGCTGACCAGGGGTTGTAGCACCTGTTAGGGTCCCAACTATCGGCAAATAATTTCAAAACACTTTGAAAGTATGAACAATAGTTTTATAATAAAAATAGCAGCAACACATTTTCATAATAAAAAAAATATCTAACAAACATTACCAGCAATACATTAAGAAAAGAATATATGCATTTTTGAAAAAAATATCAACAACTAGTGTTGGGGCGCACCCACCTTCTAACTAGTAATGGAATGGTCCCTCTTATATAAGTCAGCTCTGGAGAGAGAGTGAGAGAGCGTCAGAGAGAGAGTCAGCGTGAGCAGTCCAGATAAGCTTACCCGGTACATACCGTTGGACTATAGACTTTGGATATTGTTTCGTACTAACCAACCTTCGTTCTATTAATCACTCTATTGTTAATTGCTTTTATGAATATACCAGTATTTTCCTCTACAACTGTGTTTGTCTTGATTCATACAGCGACACGCGGGAAACTCACAACATCTCAACAACTAGCAGCATTACCCGGCGTTACCTGTTCTTGATTCAAAAATCGTACGACTATCGCTATCACTTGACTTAAAATATTTTTGCTCTTCCTTGGCTTTAAAGGAGTGCCCTTCGCCGTGCTGATCTTGCTACATGCCTTACTTCTTGCCTCACACTGCGAATTTTTTCTAAACTCTATAGTAAACATTAAATCTGTTACGAAAAAAGAACTAAACAAAATGAACACAAAATGATCATTTTTAAAAAAAGGACTCGTAACTGGAAAAAACGAATGAAAAAAGAATGTTAACAACAAATACTTTTTCACACCCAACCCAGTTCTGCGGAATCAGAATCAACGTTGTTTAAGCAAGCGAATGAGCCACTTGGAGTAAAGTGCCATGCAGATTTAAATTTTCCCAACTTGTGACGAATGCAGCTATTGATTTTTTTGCATGTTAGCATGCTAGTTAACATTCGTGTCAGTCAGCTGTTGGCTCTCACGCTGGCCAGTAGAATCTTCCTGCCTATTCGTGGCAGCCAGCTATTGGCTCTCACTCTGGCCAGTAGAAAATGGCCGCAAACTACATGAAAACTGCCGTAGAAGCATGAAAAAATCGATTATTTCCACTATCGATGGGAGTTGGGAAAAGCAAACGCGGTCTTGGCCTTTCCACTTACTTGGAGCATGTGTACGTAAATTTTGGTGCAAATCCGTCGAAAATTGCGGCCGTGCACTCGTTACACACACACACACACACACACACACACACATCCTGCCTTTTATAGATAGAGATACAATTTTTGTAAATAAAATTTGTAATGCTCTCAAGAAAATGTTGGCAGTAAATGACCCAAGACGAGTTGATATGCCGCTAAACAAACAAACAAAAAGACACATCGGAATAGCAAAAACTGGATGTGAAGGGACAAAAATAAAATCTACGAGTGTGAGTCAATAAGCTCGAAGCTTAGGACGCATGGTATAATAGTTAAGCAATCTTTTCTTGCTCGATCAATTATGATATTGAGTTTGGGTGCTCCACATCTTCGGCCTTGTGCCACATATGTACTAAGCTTAGAAAATTATTTGGTCACTTCAACTTGGTGTAAAGGAGTTTGTCTCGCTAGATCATTTACGACTGAACAGTGAGTTCGATCCTCAATGGGTGTCCCATATTTTCGGACATATGTCGGCAAATATGCCGCCATCGAAATAATATATATTTACTTTGTTACTTTAATAATAATATAACATAATAAATCAAATAAAATATTATAATATAATTTAACTAATATTACAAATTAATAAATATTAGATATTTAATAATATAACATAACAACTTCAATATAAACCATAAAAATTTAATTTCGAAGAAAAATTTACAACTGGAATAAAAATGAAAACAAGTGAAAAAAAAAAAAGGAAACAAAAGCAGAAAATAATGAACATGCGCGTGTACAAAACGGATTGAAAAAGACGCGGAATAAATTGAACTAAAATTGGAAATATTTAAAAAAACAATACCCATTGAAAAATGCACATTACCAAGATACTTCGAAGTCGAAGAAAACAAAACGGTTGATATTTAAAGTAAAGTTACATATATATATATATATATATATATATATATATATATATATATATATATATATATATATATATATATGTTGAATAAATACAAACTTACCACATTAAAATGCTTAAAATTTATTTATTAATTACAATTTTACAAGAAATGGATATGAAAGGAAAGCGTTTAGCACGAGGTTTTATTTATAATTCGATATTGGCTCTAGATTTCGTTACATGCTTCTTGCGGTACCCAAGAATCTCGTCAACTAATTTCACCAAGAACTCTTGTGGTATGGAAGACATAACTTATGTTATATATATATATATATATATATATATATATATATATATATATATATATATATATATATATATATATATATGTGTGTGTGTATTTGAATGGATATGAGTTTAACGTTTTGTTTCTCTGAGGATCCTATAAGCGTGAAACCGACGGTCACAAACTCATATCCATTCAACTAAATAGGTTAGCCCTATCACTGATATTGAGCGCTTTTCAATAAGCACCACACATATATAACATATGTATAGAATTTATATATATATATATATATATATATATATATATATATATATATATATATATAAATGCTATATATAAATGCTATATATATTTATATACATACATAATGTATATAAGCATTATATATATATATATTTATATATATATATGTACGTATGTATATATACATACATATCTATATGTATATATATATATATACAAAGAAATAATCACACATAGAATCAATCAGATGTATTAATGCGATTATTGGCGACATCCATCGCTAGAAAACATAATATATGCATTAAAATACTGTTCATCCATAGTGCCAGTTGATCCTCGTTTATAAACTACAGACAACAAGTTTACCAACGAGGATCAACTCGCATTATGGATCTGATTGATTTTAATGATTATTTCTTTGTATGTAAATTATATGCTGCCTAATGTTTTTATATATATATATATATATATATATATATATATGAAAGTGGACATTGAATTCAACACCCAACGCCGACAATCTGTTTTCCTCTTGTACGTAATCGACATGGACCGACAATTACGTTTTAATCATGAAAAAGACTGTCGCCACTGGGTCATTGCCTCAATTTCTACTTTTCTATTTATATACGATCTATCCAGATATCGAGCACTTTAACTCATCAATATATTATAACTTAAATCTATATTTTTATCATATATATATATATATATATATATATATATATATATATATATATATATATCCACACGCACACCTAAAAATACACACATACACATACATAAACACGACCATAAAACATATTCATATGTATACACATTTATAATACAGAAAAATACTTGTTGCTAACACTCGTATACTACACGATGAAAAAAAAACAAAACTTCATATTCTCGAGACTCTCTAAATAACGAGCAAAGAACCAACACTAAATAAGGTTAGTCATGAGTATAGCAACTATTTTTAAAATGCTCTTAATCGCAATGTTTTTCAAAATGTTTAAAAATATTAATAAAGCCAAATAGATTATAATCATACAAATTAAAGTTACGTCTCTTTGATCAAAACATGTAAAAACACCACGGCTTCAACAGTTAATACTAAAATAATTATAACAGAGCGCGTTCATGCGTGTTTATAAAAAAATTACAACTATCAGTTACCTTCATTTTTTGGCTTAATAATTCACTCCTGAAGATCATCTCGGATGAGATTGAAAGTACTTGGGAAAATAAAAATGATAATAAAAGAAAAAAAAAAACAACGCCTTCCTTAATGAATTTAACATCAAAATTAAGAAGTCGTTAAAAAAATTGGTGCAGATTACAATAAAAATAAATAGATATGTGTCCAGATCATTCAACCGAACATGCTTGAATACATATCCATACAGATATGCATGTGAATATATAACTTTAAAAATATCAAAAGTATAAATTTAAACTGTAAATATACAGAAGAAAAATAACATCACATATATACTTAGGCACGCCTCAATGATCCACCTAATTACAAAGACATGCATATAAAAATCTCAATCTATGTAAAAGGAATGATAATATGTATAAAATATTACTGATATATAGCGATTTTCAAGCGTAGCTTAGATGTGGCCCGAGGCCGAAAGTATGGGGTACACAGTGAGGATCGAGCTCACTACTCAGTCGTAATTGTTCTACCGAGACAAGCTTGCTAACCATTGCATCACCTCCAGGGGTCTAATAATGATTTTCTAAGACCGGCTTAGATGTGGCACAAGGCCAAAAGTATGGGGCACCCAGCGAGGATCGAACTCACTACTCAGTCGTAATTGATCTAGTAAGACAAGCTTTCTAACCATTACACCACGTAATATAACTGATATATATATTTAATATAATGTTCCTAAAAGACCATACGCATACGTACAAAATAATGTAAACTAGTAAATATGCTATAATATTT